AGACACAGAGCTGCATCGATTCCCTCCCCCAAGGCTATGTGCGAGTCTCCAGTCAGCCACAGGACGCTAAGGGAACGGCGACGATGCTCACGTTCCAGCCTGGAAGCCAGAAGTGCTGCGCGAGGCGCGAGTCCGCGACGACCGTGGCACGTGTCGGCTGAACGGTTTTGCACCGCCCGCGCGAGCGGCCTCAGGGGTATCGCGGCCGAGTCCGTGCCTCCGTAGCGGCCACATGGTCCGGTCCATCTCCACCTTCTTAGTGGGGGTGATGCTGGTTCGCAGAGACGCGGCGTGTTGAGCATTCAAAGATGCAGGAGACTCCTGGAACAGCAGCTACAAAGAGTAAAGCGCAGCTCAGGGAGGCTCTCCTCTTCCCAGACGGAAAGGTGGGCATACGGGAGACAAAAGCTACCACTCCGGGCACCGAGGAGCCATCCCTGCTACGATGTCAGAGGAACCGAGGGAGGCTCAGGGACCGAGGGCCAGGCCACGCCCCTCGCCAGCCTAAGAGTCTGCCAGTCCCTTGTGACGAGCCCAGGCCCGATCACGCTCGTCTCCAGCTAGAGGCTTTTACAGCGAACGCTTGCAGAGCATGCTTACAGAGTCGCGAGCTCACCTCCAATATAACGGTAGCTTCGGCCGCCAGCGATCGCCCGGCTCCTGGGGCCAGCAAGCAGACCTGTCTCCCCGATGGTTGTTTGCCCGACGAATCAAGCAGAAGCGTGGCATGTGCCAGCAGCACACCTGCGAGAAGGAAGGGGAAAACAAAACACACCGCGTGACCTCAGCGCCTCGCGCATCTCCCAGCCAAGCCCTGCTTTTGGGAAGCAGCCCCGCGGGGTTGCGAAGCAGATCCCCACAACTTGGGCAGCTCCCAGGTTCGAGGTGAGGAGGGCGCAGGTGGCGCCCCTCCGCTCCTCTCTGCCAATCTGGACGTCAAATCCCTTACAGGGGCAGCTGTCGCGCGGCCTCCATCAAAGATAGATGCTGCGGCGAGTCCCCGACAGAGTACAAACAGAGTTAAGAGCCCTCTGTAACGTTCTTCCAATGCACAGGGGCAAATCCCCACGTCCCTCTCCCCCCTTCAGAGTGAGGACGGGCAGGCCACGGAAACCTCCCGGGTACCAAAACGGTCCAAGTAAAAGCATTTCACTAAGAACAACGGGCTCCAGAGTTAATTCGCATGGTCGACGGCTCACAAAGTCAGATATGAAAAACGCTTTGCAGAGTTCATCACACGTCGTACCGACAGAGAACTACCCCGGGCTCAAAGCACTGGAAGTCCCTTAGGCATTTTTGTCTCCTCGTCTTAACATCCATCTTATGGCTGCCCGTACTCACTTCCCCCTCCGTCACCGTTCCCCAGCACCTGCAGCTTCAGCTCTTTACTTCTAGGTCCCAACTCCCTGTTGAAACAGAAAAAGACAGGCTGGTATCAGGCAATCTTTGCAAAACGGCCACAGAGGAGACAACCCCATTCCCTATCTTCCCTCCCTCAAATCTCACACGCCTCGTCACCTCTTCCAAAGCTCCGGCAACGTGCGCTACTTTGGAGGACACGACAAGGGGCAGCGAACCACAGAGAAGAGGAGAACTCTGGTTCACGGCCCCGAGGAAGTCATGAGGGCGATCAGTCCGGAAGGCGGAGACCTACACTCCAGGCCTCCTGCATCTGTCGCTCCCGTGCGCTGCCCGCGCTTCCGCCCATCCGGTTAAAACACGGAGCGTCCAGGGGAGCGGGAAACGTGTACGCGAGCCGGGGCCAATCACCAGAATCAGTAGCCCAACGGGCAGGCGGCACAAACACGTGCTGCCCTGCGGCACGGGTCTCAACCTCTGCACCGTCCCCATCAGTTACCGCGGCACAGTAACGACACCCAGAGACCATGCCGGTCCGCCTCCGCCGTGCCAGCTGGAAGGAGGGCAGACACTTACAGAAAGAGCTCCTCGTTCCACTCCATCTCTGCTGCAGCACCGGCGCTGCCAGCCGTAACCGGCCTCGTCCGCTTCTGCTGCGGGGGGCTGTCTAGCTCTGCCACGCAGCATATCTCCCCGACTCCTGCAACGGAGGAACGGAGCGCGCGCGTTCCATTCAAACCCACCCAAAACAACCACTCGCGCCGATCTCGCCGCCCGCGCGTTCACCCCTGCGGATCAGCGCTGTTTTCGTGCTTACCTCCTTTCTCCTGGCGGCCCAAATTCAGCACTCGAAGATTCCGGAGCAACAGCTTAGAACCCAGAGGGGCTGCTGCTGCTCTGGACGGGGACTCTCGAGTCGACTTATCGCTGGGTACCTGAGGAACAACAAGAGCGAGACCGACACCTTTACCGTTCACCCGCCAGCAGACAGCGGCGAGACGCGCGACGTTCGTGCTAGCATCTATTGAAGGGGCCCCTCGCAGTGACGTAGGAGAATACCCGCAGAGCCACCGAGCGATGCCACAGGTTCCCCGAGCTATCGACCTCCGTGTTATTTCAGATGGAATAGCAAAGGCAGACAGGAAGAGAGACGGACAAGAACAACCAAAGAGGACGAACCATGGACCGTTACGTGCCTATAAAGGCCTCCCCAGACGGAGCCCCCCCGCATTCAGAGCGAGAGAGAGACTGCTGACACAGAGCTGCGTCTCAGGCCGTCCAGCTCCACCTCAGCACGACCGGTGCTCGGTGTTCAGGAAACGAGGTACAAACAGAGCTGCCCTTCGGATTGGGTTCTCGTTATCCCTACTTCCCACGCTGCAGCACCTCAAACCCTACGACAGCGCAGGCCGGGATGCAGCCGTCACCCAGAAGCGAATCTCAACCCTCGGATCTCTGCCTGAGCCTCAGCCCTCAGAAGCACCCCGGGGCACCGCGTTTGAGGCACGAGAATGACACGAGGAGAGCGCCTTACCGCAGCGGCTCCGGCGGTGCAGGCCTTCAGATTCACCATCATGGCTGGCTGCGTGCTGACAATGGTATCCTCGATCAGATCCCTTATCGTGGACAGATCCGCTCTCCCTTCATTCTTCTCTCCGCAAATCGAGAGGATATGCAGGCATGTCATAACAAGGCACAGGCATTTTCTCCTTCTACAGCTCCAACGGCCTCTCGAGCCTCTAAGACGCTACACGGTCTTTCTCCCAGCAATAACCGCCCAGGTACTCTTCCCTTATCCTGTACTCACTCTCCCCAGCGCTTAAAGCTTCCGTGTAACAGCTGCAGGCAAGTCTAAGTTGTCCAAATGAGACAAACTAAGCCTCTACATCTGTAATCTACTTGTTGCAGATTTTGACAATATAGCTTTTACAATTTGCCATGTCCTCGCCACCTCGTGAGCCGGTACTACCGCGCTTTCGAGGTAACAGCCAAATTCCTACATCAAGTCAGGATAAAGCAATAAGGATGTTGATAAAACAAACAAATTGGCTGACCTACTTGGATCACAGAAGCGCAAACACGCCAGAGTTTAGCTCGTTCAACCTGTAATACCCATGAGTTCCGCACACTAACCTCTTCAAAAACCCCAAACAAACAAAACAAAAAAACAACACAAAACAAAACAAACCACCACACAACACACACACACACACACACACCCCCGCACACAAAGAAAACCACTAACCGACCCAGCTTGTTTTGCAGCTCTATCTACATCTGACAATGGCAGGAGGCCCTACAGGGACAGAAAGCCTTTTTTTGGTACGTGGACTCCCATTCAGCCGTTACACCAAACTCAGACAACAGAGACGGGTACCGCTTGGACCCTCTTGACGATGCGCCGTTTTGACAGAGCTGAGCTAGTATCGATTCCGGGGCAAAAGAATTCCCTCCCTCACCCTAAGGGCCGCGACAGCGAGTTGGCGACCTCTCCCCTCCGCAGCGGCCTTCTTCCTGGCTCGGTGCCGTTTCTGCCCCTCCCGCGCTTCCTCCGCTCAAGTCCAGCCTCCCGCCGTTTGCCGCTCACCTCAGGAAGCTGAAGTCTCGGAAGAACCGAAAGGTTCAAGTCCGGTCTGTCCTTGAACATCCACGACACCAGGAGACCTTTGCTCTGTATCTCCTCCAAGTGGATCTCCACCTGGCCCGGAAGAAATACCCATAGTCAGGAACGGTTTACGTTTCCATTAGGTGCTTTTTGCCCCGCTTCAAATTCAGCGACCGAAAGGCCCTCGCGCCGGCGCGACAATAAGAGATGGAACGTAAGAACACAAGCAGTCCCGGGCCCACGGGAAGGAGCAGCTGCAGAAGCCTCATCGCTCCGTGGCGAGATCCGGCTTCCTCCCTGCCTTTGGATGCCCGGGCACCGTCACAGGAACGACGATAGGTTATTTCTTCAGCTGAAGAAAAAACCTGCAGGACGATCCGAAGGAGCGAGTCAGGCACTGACACGGGATATTTACTGAGCTACATCAATTAACTATTGCCAAACCTAAGCACGGCCATTTATAAGTTAACAATGCGGGCACGCCGAACGCCAAGGAGAGAGAGGAGAGCTATTGAAACGACCGTGGAACGGAGGCACAAAACCAAACCGGGATGATCCGATAAACGTAGGTTGAAAATTTTAATAAAGCTTCTGAGAGCAAAGGGGTTCTAGAACAACCTTCCGACCGCAATAGCTGCCATAGCGCAGCATCGGCTTCTGCTACCGCAGACCTACTTCTAATTTTGCCACATCTCCCTATAGTGCAAACGAGCCTGCGGTCTCCGAGCAAGACACCATCTCTGGCGTCAAGCCCTTCTTCGCGACGGGAACAAAATCAAGTTCCAGAGAAGCAAAGCCAGCCCGAAAGCGACTGTGGAGTTACCACCCACTGCGATTTCACAGAGCTTCTGTTCTGGAAGAAGCATCTACGATATTCGACACACAGAAAAAAATCTGCGTCGCGCTCTTGCAAATGTATTAAGGGGAGCATCGACCAGCAAACCACTCCTCACCGTGGATTTCTTTTTCACGCCAATACAGCACCGTAATCATACGTATGCACGGGACGCATTTCCTATCTGTCACACCGCGAGGGGAATCAAACGCTGCGGACCTTCCGCTTCTTAAACACCCGCTTAAAAACACAGTATAGAACGCTGCTGCGCCTCCCATGTCTCTGGATTTTGTTACTGGTACGTTACGTAGCCAAGATCTGCAGAACAAGACTCAGAAAAGAGGACTCGGCACACAGATCCTGAATATTTGCCACCCTGCCAAACGTGAGCGACAGCACGCCGCTTCTTCCAGCAGGGTGAGGCCTTTATTTGCGCTAAATTGGGTCCTCCTTCCTCAATGGCCGCGGGGCCAGGTGAAACGACAAGTTCAACGGCTAACTTTTTACAACTGTTACCTGAGCCTGCAGCACAGCCAATGTGACGTGATAGGTGTCCACAGAAACAGCAACTGGGGACTGCTGAGTAACAGAGACAGGGAATTTCACAGCTTCAGCTGACAGCTGGCAGTATAGCACCTAGAGAAAAAAGGAAGATGAGTTTATATCCTTGGGAGAGGCAGCCCGGCAACAGCAAAACCTCTAAAAGCGTTCGGCGAGGTTGACCCGTCGTGGCAGGAAAGAAGCATCAGGCCTGCTCCCAGACCCGGTTCCGCACTGCGAACCTGCAGTTTCAGACTCTGTAGGCGAGGCAGTAAAGACGTATCTGTGAGAGGAGCTCTCTTCTCCTCACCGCCGCAGGAGCCCAATATTCGAGCTCAGCATCCGTACGCCCCATATCTACCGACGCATCACTCCCCGGGGCCGTACGATTCAGAACGGTGAAGCCTTACCATGCTGTGGTCTGACTGCGCCTTGCACGTCACGTGACTTATATTCGCAGCCGGTGGCAACTGAGGACCCTCTTCAAACGTGACCTGCACTGAACTCTAGAAAGAGAGAACTCCGTTAGTTCCCAGCGGTCGAGGTACCCCAGATAGCGTCAAAGAGGACGAACGATCCTGACGTGGGGCCCCAGAGACGCTCTCCGGTCCGTTTCCATCAATCCAGCCAGCACGCGGAACCGCCGCACGCTGCAATTCTACCTGCCTTGGCTCACCCGGACGGAGAAAGGAAATGAGGTGCCGTGGTTTAACCCGGCCGGTAGCTAACACAACTGCACAGCCGTTCGCCTACTCCCCCCTCCTCAGAGGGATGGGGTAGAAAATCAAAAAGAAAAAGGTAAAACTCACGGGTTGAGATACAGACAGTTTAATAGGACAGAAAAGGAAGATAATAATAACAATAATAATAATGGAATATACCAAACAAGCCATGCGCAGCACAATTGCTCGCCACCCGCAGACCACCGATGCCCAGCTAGTTCCTGAGCCGCACGCCTCGTGGCCAACTCCCCCAGTTATATAGGGAGCATGACATCACATGGTATGGACCATCCCTTTGGCCAGTTTGGGTCAGCTGTCCTGGCTGTGTCCCCTCCTGGCTTCCGGGGCGCCCCCCACCTTCTTGTTGGCGGGGCAGTATGAGAAACTGAAAAGTCCTTGACTGTTAGGCAACAACTAAAATATCAGGGCATTATCAACATTATTCTCATCCTAAATCCAAAACACGGCACGATACCGGTTGCTAGTAAGAAAATTAACTCTATCCCACCCGAAACCAGGACACAAGGTCTTCGGTTAAGGCTCAGATTCACAAACGCTATGTTAATTTCAGATAGGCAAGACCAAATGAGAATGGAAAATTCTTCTGGATAGCAGTCAGCTACAAGTCAAGTGTGTTAACCCTTCTGCATTGCAGAAGCTTTGCTGTTTCCTCTCTCTCCCTCTCTCCCTTTAGTGCTAAACCTGCCCCACGTATAAAAAAACAAAAAAACACCCCAAACCCCACCAAACCCAAAACCAAACCCAAACCAAATGCAAAAAAACCCAATCCACACCAACAAAATCCACCCTCAGCATATGGTACGTGAGCTCCTGTGCTCGACTTGTTTCTTTTTTCCACCCTCACCGAGTGTATGAGTCTACAATCTCTGCTGCGGAAACATCCCTCTTCTTCCCTTGAGGATTTCCCCATAGAACAGGACCCAGTTCTATCTACAACACAACCTACTTCAAGCAGGAAAAACAAAAGGCCAAAACTGAACTGCGCCACGCTTGCTGATAAAGTTAAGCCCTCCTTCGGTCGAACTGCAGAGAACGCTCATTCAGGTTCCGCAGCCTTTATTCAAATGGACGCATCTCACGGGTACGACTTACGCGCCTCGTAACCGAAAAGGACTTCCTCGAGAAAAGAGGGGTACCGTACAGGTGACACGTAACAAAACCAAGCATTTCTTCCTACGTCGCCTTCCTCAAAGATCCGATTTATTCATCTGAGCCCAGCGAGTCGTTATCAGGGGATTACGCCGAGGCAAATGACAGTAGCGATAAATGAGGAACTACAGAAGGTATGCTGCAAAAACTGCTGTACAAACCTTCCCAAAGGAGCCAAAGTCACAGCATTACCTACGGGGTTGGACTTTACGAAGCCTATTACGTTGACACAACTAACAACGGTTGGGGGCAAGGGGAGTAACAACTTCTCATTCCTCCCCATCTCCGCCAACCGCCTGATTTTTTTCACGTGGTCACGCCGCACTGAGAGATCCGTTTTTCTGTCCTGCTTCTAGTCTGGAATTTAACTCATTTTGTCAAAAGGAGACAAGACTTTTCCCATCTCGTTGGGAAAACTCAAATGTGAGTTTGCAGGGCGTTCTTCGACACTTTAATTTCCTTTTCTTCAAACGCATTAGCTTCATGCTAACCTCTTTTAGCTCTTGATTTTCCCACACAATTTAACAGAAAGGCTCCTCCTTCCCGTTCATGTGATAGGGGGGAAAAAAAGGAGAGACTACGACAGACTTTGGACCACCGCTTTTGTCGGCAAAAGCCCCTGCCTTGCAGGTAACGCGATTGTTTCCGCGTGGAATCGGCGAGGTGTATTCTCCCTTATGAACTTCGAAACTACGGATCGATGCAACTGTAATGCTGGGAGAGTAAAGGGAATAAACAGCAGAAAATTGAGAAGAGGTTGCTGTGGCAACCTCCGAGTAGCCACATCGGCCGGTTTCATCACACCTGACTCGGGCTCAGGCCCCAAACCTCATTAAATAAAGCTTGCTGCCCAACGCCTAACCTTTCCGCGCTTTCACAACGCGCCGTACTCGCGTTTCCTTACGCTCCCGTCCCACCAGGCCGGCGCAGAGCTGCTCGAAAAGCGACGCTGGCT